GTTCCGCCATCTTTGATTTTTTCATTTTTTTCACCTAAACCACCCCTGAACTATAACGAAAAAAACAAAAAAAAATTATCGAAATCGGTCGAGCCGTTTACGATTTTATCGAGGACATACAGATAGACAGACAGACAGACAGACAAACATTCATTTTTATATAATATAGAGATTACATTATCACCAGTATTAGGAAAATCTTTCAAATTTCAAGTGAATCGGACAACTAGAAGTGTGTCAAAATACACTTCTAAAATTTCACCCGAATGTACTAACAAGTCAATTTCAATAAATGCTGGTAATAAATAGGACCCAGGAAGACAGGCAACGATAATATAATTGGACCGGGGAAGACAGGTCATGAAAAAATATTTGGACCGCAAAGGGTTAAGAGGCAGGATCTTCATGGTTCATCACCCAGGCAGCCACGTGCCTACCTTCATCGTCATTTCAATCCCTAACCCTTCATAGAAGGTGAGTCTCGCTTTATTTCCACGATTTTTCTCTCTGCAGTCCAGAAATTCAGAACCTCATTTTCATGAAATATTTAAGGGTTTTTTCACCGGGAGTTTTCTACCGGGAGTTCTTTACTGGAAGTTCTACAACGGGAGTTATCCTACCAGGAGCACTATTCTTCCCAGGAGTAGAATTGCTCGACCAGGATCTGTCAATTCTACAAGGCCTTTGGTGGCTATATAGTAGTCTGGAATCTGGAATCTGGATATCGTCCCCTGTTTGTTCCTGATATGATGGATTTTCAAGGTGGAAATACGACAAGTCTGTCAATGTCATCTGACATCCAGGGATGTGAAGTCAGCACCCCGCTCTCCGCCAACCTTCCCCTCAGCAGCTTCATTTGGTAGCACTGAAGCCATTTATTGCTACTCTGGATAACTGGTGTAGGACACACCATACAGGTTTTTGATATAAAAATATATTTTTATTTTTCATTTTCATTCACTCATAATGCCCATTGCTAGTGTGTATAATGGACCATTTTTAAATCATAGCTAGGTCAAAAATTGATGAAATCACACATGAAAGGTACATACTTCCCCTCCACATAGTATACTATGCGCTGGTAGAATTCTTCCATTTAATATGTTTTTAAAATCTGCTATGACTATAAAACGTCCTTACAGGAGCTTTTGAATTTTCAAGTACAATTCAAGGTTGATTTATATATATTTTCATCCACATAATAGCAGGCAACAACAGTGTAGTTTCTTAACAGGAAATGAGTAATATTTTTTTATTATGCATATTTGTCAAAACCTGTGATGTGATATATGAGTCCTACCATCATAATTAAATGTTTTGGGTATTGTATATGACTGTTTTATTTGTTTATTGACATGACACTCCAACTCAACATCTCTAAGGTAAATTTAGGTCTTTTAGTCTGGGAGAACAACTAATATTATTCATTATCTGGTTGCTCAACTTTCCAGGTAACATTTCATTCGAATTAAAAGTTGCAGTGGCGCCCCATCTTTTTTGTTTAACCTTATGATTGCTAGATAACTGAATTTTTTGCTATTTTAACTCATTTTGATAACTCGAACTCATAGTGCCTACTGACGAAGAGCTGCCGTTCGCAATGCACCTATTTTTCATAAAAGTAGGGCTGCATACTTCTACAATATGGGTATCAAATGAAAGGGCTTGTTGAGATTGACTCAAAAAATAATGTGACTTCATTCTAAATCCAATATGGCGGACTATCCAAGATGACAAAATAGTTCATTTTAATTCACTTATACAATATGTGTATCAAATGAAAGGGCCCGTTGAGAGCAACTCGGAAAATGATGTGTGAAATCATTAGAAGGTATCCTAATTAAAGTGCTGGACTGTCCGAAATTAACCGGCAAACGACCTTGCAACAATGATGCGTTGGATGAAATGAACAGACTGAGAAACCTAGCCAGGGATAAGTAAAAAAAAATTGAAAGTAAAAAAAGATTTTTAATAAAAGGCTTTCACTTGAACGCTCTGAAAAGAATAAAATGAAATGTTCCTTTATAATTCTAACTATAAAATTATAACCTCATTATACACAATTTATATGATCATAAAAGCTTACATGAGATATTTATGGTGGATTCATGCAACATTCGCATAGTCCTAATCAAAGTTCTTAGTCATAATTTCAAGAATAACTAGAAGTTGAAACAAGGTACTTGCATGAGGCCGTTCACACACCAATTTTAGTCTTAAGCCTAAGCACATGCCTAAGAAAACGACCTTGAAAATTGATCAATTTTAACTTTTATGCTTATGCTTTTGTTACATGGATGCGCATGCTCCTTTGATAGAATTGTTGATGATTTGTTGTTTACATATTCCGAAAATAATATTATGAGAAAGCTCAGATGTTGATGAGTTTGATAGATAATTTTCCTCATCTCTGATACAAAAAGAACCACAAATTCTCACATCACTCTTATGCTTAAATCAAGTTTTAATGTTTCTGGATAAATACCTCAAATCTTTAAGAGACAAAAATTAATACTTAGACTATGCTTAGAACGAAGACTAGAACTATGCAAATGTTGCATAAATCCGCCATTATATTTCAACTTCATGGTCCTCAATCGAGCAAACATCCACGAAATCATTTATTTCTGAATGTTTAACAATAACTTCGTTTTGTCTCTTGGAGCGCACGAAAGGAAATTCCTATTATGTTCGTGGAACATCGTGCGTACCTAGCGGAGGATAGGGAAGGGGGCCTTTTAAGCCAGTTCAACAATATTCTTCATATCAAGCTAAGCATATTTTTACTTTAGAACTTGGTTTTTTGACGTTTGTAGAAAAAATGCAACTCGAGCGCGAAATACTTTGGTTATCTCGACTATTCATTTAACTCGGCTAAGCCTCGTTAAAAAAATCAGATCTCGATCACCAAGGTAGAATTTCGCGCTCTAGATACAAAAATAACAATTTTTTGAATAAAAGTTCTTAGTCGATATCATTGTAGGTATATTAACTGGCTTTTGAATACCACACTGCACAAAACCAACAAACATTCCAATTCCAATTGATTTCAGCCTGCCTTCGGTTCCGATTTCTCCTTGGTCAGATGTTCTGGAACAACTTTCGCCACTTTTCTGGGTTCCTTGACGAAAGTTTTCGAGCACTGCATTTCAGTCCAACTAATAGGTACCATGGGATGACCTTGCTCTGAATGAGCCATAACAACGCCTAGTTCATTCTCTGCAGTCGATAGTTGATAAGTGTGTGCTTCTGTAATTGGTAACTGAAAAAAAAAAAATCTTCACTACTACTAGCACATCCCGATTGTTCCATTTTGAATCTGATCACTGTCAGTGTCAGTATTTGCTATTTATATTGATTCAATGGGGGACTTTGCTCCAAGTTGCCAACCTAAAAACCTCTACCACTGTAGAAGCAATATTATGAAAGGTTTGATTACTCAAATGAATTTATTTTGATGCGATTTGATTGTAGGCGTCTACTCATCTTTTTAATGAAAGTTATTCAGAAGAAAAATTAGTTTTTGTGAACTTCACATCTAACTGGCTGAAAATCATGTTGGTGCGTCACCTCGATTCGTCGTCTTCCTGTTATTTTCACTATTTCAGGCACACCAGGGTTGTGTCACCTGCATATAAATAATCATCCAGAGATCAGTTACCCATATGCGTTATGTGGGTTGTCCACACTTAATGCACATCAGAGTATAGTTGGTTGCATACGAGGTTACTGTTGATGGCGCGAGCAGTATTTGAATGATTTAAAGGAGAGGGCATAAAAACAGGATAAACTACACATTTTTTGTAACTTATGTTTTATTCACAATAATTATACCTTGTGGCTGAGGTCGCCTTTTCTGATTCAACCTTGATAGAAAATGGTTGGTGCCTCATAGAGTTCATCTAAAAATTATCTCTCAAGCAATTTTATATTGAACCTTGTTGGTTTTCAACAAGTGGTAGGACATCACGACGTTCACACTTGAGGCCTGGTCAATTTAATCATAGTTGTAGCACAAATTCGCATACCTTCGACGTCCTCAGAATAAAGATTTTGTGGAAACTTCCCGTTGAGTATCAGTCAGCCAAACCCACATTAAAATCAACCCTGAGATTAAGAGCTTCTGTACAAGATCGACCAACATGTGCTATTGAAGCTCTCGGAGAATGCAACCAGGCCTTGTTTCCAAACATTCACAAACTTTTAAAGATCTTGGTGACACTGCCTGTTTCGACATCGAGTTCGACATGTACCCCTGAGAGGACTTTCTCTTCTCTGGAACGCCTGAAGATTTATTGAAGGAATTCCACAGGCCAGGAAAGACTGAACGGTTTGGCGTTAATGTCAATCCACCGCAGAATTGACATCGATACCGAACAGGTAATTGATTTGTTCGCTGCAAAGAAAGCTAGAAGACTAAATTTAATTTTGTAACAAGATGTTGATATTTCTGTAATGCTTTCCTAATGAATATTGAATATATGATAAGTAACATCATTTCATTTATTTTATTGTAACAATTCTTCGATTTTCTACTGTTCCACAAAACCAAACCCCCCCGAAATGGTTTTCTGACTACGGCCTTGCCAGTGTCACTAGATGTTGAGGAAAAAATGCAGGATGGGGTAAATAAAAGTTCACCTAAAAATTCACTGAATCTCAATCAAAGTGAATGGGTTAGACCTACGTATGTAGATGTAATGTCGATGAAGGAAGTCTCACTATCTCATATGAACAACTGAAATCGATTTTTGATGACAAAAACCAATTTATCACTGAAAGGTGGCCTTACCTAGTTTAATCAAAAATTGAAAGTGTGAATAATGTGTGTATATTTAATTTCAAACAAAAAAGATATGTCATTTCAGAAGACTACATCAAGATGTATCGATCGTTTGTAACCTTAAAGTAACTGTTATCAGTTCTTCGTTGAATTATAATCACACTGGAAAACTCACAAGAAATTTGAAAGGAATTGAGAGGAAACTATTCAAAAAAAGATGAACAACTGTAAAGCTAGCATTTTAAGACAGAATTCTGTGACGAAGGCTTCCAGGAAATTAGTTGCTGTGGGAAAGTTGCAAGCAATCGAGTCAGATGATGTTTTCGAGAAAGTGAAATATGAGAACCTTGGAGGCAAAGATCGAGATAAAGATAAAAATGACATGTAAGATCTTATTTTAATGCAAAGGGTCAATCCGTCATACATACAACTTGATATATTAGAGAGACAAGAAACTGATGGTGAAATTATCGTCCACTTAGATGCTACCGGTAGTATAATTCGAAAAACACCATCGTGCCAAAAGAAAATTTTGCTGTAAAGAATAACCATAAATGGCTGATATTTAGGACTTTAGTTTCGCTCTAATAAATGCCGTCTTGGTCTTTTGGAATAATATGAATATAAAAACCTATCTGAGTGTTGTATACGATATTGTGATAATGAAAAAAATTGACGACTTGAATAGTTTCATCACAATTCATATATGTTGTTCACACTTCTTTAAAATTGTTGCCAATGATATAAAAAAATGTGATTTCGACAATTACGAACAGAAGTTTTACGAAGAAGTACTCACATCTGTATTCAACATGAATGATTTCCACATATCTTATGCTTGGTTCGAACATTTCACAATACTTTTAAATCCCAAATATATGGGGAAAATGCACATTCATCCCTAGAAGAGATAATGAAAATTTCGATCGATCCCGATATATTAGCTGATAAGGAGGAAGACCAGTGTCGTAAATTTACTTCCGGTAACTTAAGAGGCGTGGAAGAGGATGATATTTATAGACATAGTCCATTTTACGAACATTGACATGGTATATATAGTGATTGCAAGATGAAATTGGAAATAACCAAAGATGAGAACGACAATTTGAATCCCTATTATTCCCCGGAATATTTTGACTCATGTCTTAAGAAATATTTTCCCAACTTACCTATGTGGAGCGGTATACGAACACAGAATCTTGGAAGAAGACTGAGCAATGCCGATGTCGAAAACTGGTTCTCCATTGTCAAAAATATAGTAGTATAAATGCAGCCGAAACATACGGAACAGGGTGCTATCGATTCACAAAGAGATTACAACAGATTCCTAATAGCCGTTGTACTAAGAGGAAATCACCACCATCACGATTTCAAAAACATGTTTTGGTTGTGACAATTACTGCAGCCACTATGAATTAGGAACATTAAACTATAGAAACCAAATCAGTAGTTCTGAATGCAGTTCTGATGATGACTTACCTCTGTTGCGGTTGCGGAAACCTTTGGGTGATCAGACAAATAAAATGAAATATGATGAAGTATACAGTGATAATAGCATTGAGGAAGAGGAACAGCCAAGCACATCAAAGCCAGTTGCAGGCGTCAAAACTGGTACATATATACTAGTTTCGATATCAGGAGAGTCGAACAAGAGGACTGCAGCCAAGTATGAACACAAGTATGTCGCAGTGTGCCAGGGTGATATAGAAGCTGATGGGCAGGTGAAAGTCATGTTCTTGAAATTGTGTGATAATGAAAAAGAGCAGATTTTCAAATTTGACGAGGAAGATATTAGTTACATAAATGAATCACAAATTTTGGAAATACTTTCAGAACCAAATCCCGTTTTGAGAGGAAACAGAGTATTTTATAAATTTGTTAATTTGGTCGACATATTTGAACGTGGTTGAATCTTAGCCAACTGGGATTTTTATTATGCTGACAATATTTTCATTCTTTGAATATAAGAATGCCAAAGTTGATTCATTCTTTAACACCAAATTCTATTCTTTAGAATGCCTTCAGTTTATATAAAAGTATAAAACATTTTTTCTAATTGTTCAATAAATATTTCGCTGGTGAATTCACTAACTCACTATTATCATTTCCATGTCACCACCTGTCATTTCCATGAAGTCCAATATCATTTCCGTGGAATCACTTTTCAAAAAATGTCCAAAAATGGAAATTCAATTCTTTTCGAAAGGGTTCTCATATCTATGAATTTATTTCAATGGAAATGAAGCTAATAATGCAGGTTGACAACCTATTTGCACTTTGATGACATAATTACTCAATTTCGGGGCAATCACCCATATAGTGATTGCAAGAGGTGAAATTGGATATAACCAAAAATGAGAACGACAATTTGAATCCCTATTATTCCCCGGAATATTTTGACGTATGTCTCAAAAAATATTCTCCCTACTTACCTATGTGGAGCGGTATACGAACGCAGAATCTTGGAAGAAGACTGAGCAATGCCAATGTCGAAAACTAGTCCTCCATTGTCAAAAATATAGTACTGGATAGACAATAGCATCAGAAATGCAGCCGTGATCCGAAAAATTTGGAACAGGGTGCTATCGATTCACAAAAAGATTACTACAGAGATTCCTAAAAGCCGTTGTACTAAGAGGAAATCACCACCATCACGATTTCAAAAACACCAGACTCAAGACAACATTAATAAGCTTTTAGTAGAAGAGACAAGGTACATACCGTAAGAAAACATATGGTGAGAAAAGAGAAATTACGTGCGGGGTTCCACAAGGTCCAACCCTTGGACCCACCCTTTTCTCAATTTATATAAACTCTATAACTAATTTGAATCTAAAAGGTATCAAACAATTCGCAGATGATACTACCGAGGGGGCGACCACTCTCTGCAATACGTGTACATTTTGTCTGAAATCACTTGCAATCGTCACTGAAATCCCCTGAAATCCCGCAGTCAATTTGCAATCGCCGAAATCCCTATCTGCAATCCCGCAATCCCGCAATTGCGGAATTCATCGAATTCAATGATGGATTTTATGTTGTTTTTCGGTTATACGTTAATCTTTGAAGAATCTCTAGTGTAGTTTGAGTTTTGTGATTCAGCACAGGTGGTAACAGAGGTGGTAAGTACATACTGAAGTTGATTACCTACTATAAAATTCATCGAGGGGTAAATCACTGGGGCAGTCCGATGTACATTCTTTTGGCAGTCCGGTGGCAGTCCGTGGCAGTCCGTGGCAGTCCGGTGGCAGTCCGGTGGCAGTCCAGTGGTAGTCCAGTGTCAGTCTGGTGGTCTCTCGTCTCTTCTCTCGTAATTCGACAATTATCATAAACTGAATTCTAAATTTGAAAATTCAAGACGGCGTTCGCAAGGTGGCGGCGACTTTGTTATTCATTCTCTGATTTACCTGAAAATGTACACGTAGGAGTTCTCGAGATTGGCAATTTTGAATTTCGAGTCCAAATTTTGAAAAACAAGATGGCTTCTGTAGGGAGGCATCAGTTTTTTTTTCATCTCTTGGAGCGAACGAAAAGTAATTCCTATAATGGGGAAAAGAAATCAGTTATTCTTGGAGTAGGTAATCATGATTTTTGAGTTAGTTTTGAAATTCTAGATGGCGCCTACATTGGGACGGAAAACTTTGTCATTTATTGTCCGAATCGCCTGAATAAAAAAAATTCACCTTGGGGATCTCAAGCTCCAGAGTTGATACCCACGCAAATTTTGTGTATTATGGGCATACTGCAATTGCGCGCAGTGGTCAGTATTCTCAACAGTGTGTCCTAATCTCGGTCCTAATCCTCGTCCTTATCTCATAGTGCAATTGCACGCACGTCCCAAAAAAGGTATGCTGTAATTGCGCGCAAAGGAGGGAACATATAAAACGGTAGTTTTATCAAGTTTCATATGTTTTGAACTCATTCTAGGACATAAAATATAATCATTTCCGAAAAAGGAAAGGAGACTTCTTTTTGCAAACAACCAAACCTAACTCGGCATGATATATAATATGAGGAAAAAAAATATTCTTTCTGCATAAGAAGGGAGACTAATTTTTCTAAACAATCTATCGTAGCTCGACCTGATATATAGATAATATGAAGAAGGAGAATATTATTTCTGCATAAGAGAGGATACTACTGTTTATTAACAATTTTGTATTTATACTGTATTTATCCTATAAGAATTCCCAAAATTTCAATAAGAAAATAGATCTCAGAGCAGTGCCTGTTTAAGAATTTGTTTATCTATACCTGCCTTAATTCTTGTACGTATCTGATTCACCATATATGTATCGACCTGTAACTCAAGTATTTCTGGAATGTTTTCAAAATTTGAAAAACCGTAGAAATTAATTTTCAATGATATTTTTCACGTGTTATAAAAAAATATGTGGTTTAGGAATAACCCATATTACATCAGGAAAGAATTCTTGTGGTGAATCACACTGTATACTCTTGACAATAATTTTCAAGTATAAGAATCACGAATTTACGATGAAGGTCAAATTTTCTGAAAATGTACAACGAGGATTTTTTTGGGTAGTGCATAACAATTTATAGGTGAACAGGGTGAACCAATACTGTGGGAAAGTGAGATAACGGCTTTGCTGTTTGAGATCGATAAACAAAAAATTTTGAGATGGTCTAGGCTGATGAGCAGTACATTTATGAAATATTTTGCGTTATACAGGGCGATTCTGAAATGAATGGCGTATCAAAGTTATACTTCTTCTCATGGGGCAACCTGATGTGAAAATGCATTGAAATTGAAATCGTCCGCCATCTTATGGGACGCCATCTTGAATTCTCAAAATGCGTATTTTTCAACCACGATTTTGTGACAAATTGATAAGGAAATGACAAAATCGTTCGAATTTGAATATTGAACTCGGAATTTTGATATCTCAAACCTTAAACCCCCAGAGTTTTCATTTGGGGCATTTTGGGGCGAATCTGAAATCCTCAAATTACAATTCAAAATTCGTATTTACCGAGATATTAATGAACCAAGACAAATCCTGATTTGACCTTCCAAACGGAATGAACGAAATAAGTATATCAATTTTCAAATTTTCACTCAAACTTCGTATTGTTCAACCTCGGAAATTCTGTGCTGAACATTTTCAGGCGAATCGACAGAAAAATAAAAACATCGGCTTTCTGTACTATTGACGTGTATTTCCACTTCACCTATTGCACCGCAAAAAATATCTTCATTTCATGTAGATTTAACGAGATATGTTATGTTATATACAGGAATGTTATAGTTTCCGGATCAGTTTCTCATGCCATAGGTTTCCAATGAGATCTTCATATCGTAGGTCACAGTTGATGATTTATTTCTTCTATGGCATTCACCATCGGAAATGCATTTCTAGTACTTATTCAGTCAGAACGGTTTTCGTGAACTTTGTTCTTGTGGTGAATTGAAATTTCCAAAAAACAGCTTTATTTTTATTGGAACACATGATTGAGTGATAGTCCATTACATTTCGGTGGCAGTCCGGTGGCAGTCCGTGGCAGTCCGGTGGCAGTCCGTGGCAGTCCGGTGGCAGTCCGTGGCAGTCCGGTGGCAGTCCGTGGCAGTCCGGTGGCAGTCCGTGGCAGTCCGGTGGCAGTCCGTGGCAGTCCGGTGGCAGTCTTGGCAGTCCGAGTATGAATGGCAGTCCGGTGTACACGAATTTGCTCAGTGATTTACCCCTCGTGCCAAGCAATTGGCAGAATATTTTAGAACAAAATTATCAAGAGAAATATATGAACAATTAAAGGCACTTACCGCAGGATCAACAGAAATAAAAAAAGCTGCACTATATTTGTTCAACCAAGACAAACCTTCAATTTGCTATAACATTGTGAAAATGATAAGAAGAAATAGTGGTGGTTTCGTTGAGTACCTTAGCAAACCCAAAATAACAATTCTTGTAAATGTTGTCCTGATACCCGCTAACCAGTCAACCCAAGATAAAGACATCTCCGACCATTCGAAACACGTCTCCATGGAAAGATCTCTCAAAAGTGCAATCCACGTGGATGTGTCACAACACTCACAACATTCATGTAGTTCTCTGTTTCTGCCAGATACAGATATAATCAATAATGTCATGACATCTACTCCTTATCATAACACAAAATCTGGTGAATTGGGTCCATATCATAATATAGTATATTCGCAAAGTTCTGATGGAGACGGAATCATATCTATTTATAATGACAACTCATCTTGTGGGGACAAAGTTATTATTGATGATATCACAACTGCTCCAATCAGAACCGAAGAAGTAATTGTTTCATATGAGATAGACGAAACGAATGATCCAGATATTACACCAAATAGTCGTATAGGTTCAGTTGAAAACTTATCGACCAGCAATGAATAAATACCTGCCCCTCTCACCACTCCACACAATGCTAAGAAAGGACCAACGATTTTACTTCCTCCAAATGCTAGGAATTTGAAAACAAACAACTGTAAATACAAAAGGCTATCTTACAAAACTTGTAACATACTGGAAGGATCTTTTTACCTCGGAAACGATAGTTTGCAAGCGGTGATCAGAGAAAAGAAATTAATCAAGGGATGGACATACTTACTGGAGCAACATTTTTTCAAGCACGTTAACAATGTTTGTGTGATAAATTTCAAAGGAAACCGGTATAGTTCCAAAAATGACTCCTTTACAATTTATGCATATTGCTGTCATCCATGCAAAAAATTCGT